AGATGGTTGTGAGCCACCATGTGGTTGCCTGGAATTGAACTCAGGACCTTTGGAAGAGCAGGCAATGTTCTTAACCTCTGAGCCATCTCTCCAGCCCCCTACAAACTATTTTTCCAGAGGACCCAAGTTCAGTTCCCAGCACTTATGTTAGGCAGCTCAACAATTTCCTATAACTCCAGATCCAGAGGGATCCAAGTTCTGGCCTCTATAGGCACCAGCACTCATATGTACGTATCTTACACACACACACACAATCAATAAATCAATTAATTTTTTTTCTGAGACGGGGTTTCTCTGTGGGACTATTTGGTTATGTCCTGGAACACAGTTCACAGACCAGGCTGGCCTCGAACTCACAGAGATCTGTCTGCCTCTGCCTACCGAGTGTTGGAAGTAAAGGTGTGCGCCACCACTGCCCAGCAGGCAGCAGGCAGCGGGCAGGCATGGGTCAGGAGCATGTGTTGAGACAACAGCTACAAGGCAGACAGAGAGAACACTGGGAATGGTGTGGGCTTTGATGCTTCATGATGTTTGATGACACAACATGGAAGCCCACCCCCTCTGACAAGGCCACTCCTCCCAATCCTTCCCAGACAGTCCCACCAGCTGGGATCAAGCATTCACATATGAAAGTCTATGGGGGTCATGCCCATTCAAACCACCACAGAATACATGTCTCTGCACAAGGGTGCCACATGGGGGCGCCCAGGCAGACTAGAAGGGAGTGTCACAACTCCTGGAGCTAGAGTGACAGGTGGCTGTGGGACATCTGACTTATGTTGTGAACTGAAGGCTGTCCTCTGCAAGAGCAGCAGGTGATCCTAGCGGCTGAGCCAGCTCTCCAGCTTCTTTCCCCTCTTCTGTCTGTCTGTCTGTCTCTCTCTCTCTAGTTCTTTGTTTGCTTCTTTTTCTAGGCAATGGCTGTACTACTGAACTATCCCATCTTCCTTTTGTTTGCTTGTTTTTTGCTTTTCCCGAGTGTTGGATTCAAAGTCTTGGGCACCGAGTCTGTGTTACTGTCACTAGCGACATACCAGCCTTGCTCAGACTCCTCTCCTTTTGGTGTTTAGTGACCTCCCTTAACCCCTGCGGCCTGGGCCTGCTCCATTGGATCCAGTTCTCGCCTTGGAGGTTTTATCGGTAAACAGGCCATCTCAAGGCCTTTGCTAGCAGAGAGCTCTGGAAAGGACAGCTCATAGAGGCCTTTGCCAGAACAGGGAAGTACCCCAGGCTCTGCAGCCCCGCGACAGACACTACCCTGAGTCAGAGAAGGGGAGTTGGTCTCACCGGGAAACCTGCTGACAGCCGACAGCCAAGGAAGGGCTCAGTACCAGACACACACACACACACACACACACACACACACACACGAGCTGAGGCTTTTGGTAGAGGAGTAGCGGCTGCCAAGAAACACCTCACTGAGAGAAAGAAGCTTGATAAGCAGCCCAATCCCTGGCTCTGGCTACAGCTCAGTGGTAGAGCGCCACTGCCAGGCCCTGGGCCCAGTCCTCAGAATAGCAGGGAGTGGGGAGCATGGGGACTATCCTGGTCACATTCTCCCCCCTTCTTATTCTTCCATGTCTACTCAGCTAAAGGCAGAAGGCCAGGGACCCGTGAGACTGGCAGGGAGAGCAGTGGAGAAATGGAGAAAGAAATGGTCAGGCAGAGAATGGCCTCTGGCTGCTCTCTCTTCTCGAGTTCGGCTTTGTAGATACACTTTTTTTTTTTTTTTTGGTTTTTCGAGACAGGGTTTCTCTGTGGTTTTGGAGCCTGTCCTGGAACTAGCTCTTGTAGACCAGGCTGGTCTCGAACTCACAGAGATCTGCCTGCCTCTGCTTCCCGAGTGCTGGGATTAAAGGCGTGCGTCACCACCGCCCGGCTTGTAGATACACTTTTTTAAAAATTATTTATTTATTTTTATTTTATGTGCATTGCTGTTTTGCCTACAGGTATGTCTGTGTGAGGGTGTCTGATCTTGGAGTTATAGACAGTTGTCAGCTGCCATGTGGGTGCTGGGAATTGAACCTGGGACCTCTGGATGAGCAGTCAGTGCTCTTAACCGCTGCGCCCTCTCTCCAGCCCCCAAAACACTTGTTTATAAAAGCACCCTCTGTGTCTGTCTCAGAAAAAACTCCTTTTCTTATCCTTCCAGGCCCAGACACCCTGTCTAGTCTATGAGGCAGTCCCAGGAGGAACCTTTCCCACCCCTGGGCCCCTTGGCGCCAGAACCTATCGCCACATTGCTTAGCCTAGTGATCTACATTACTCTCCATGCAAACTTGCATCCCCAGGAGACAGTTCTGGCGTCTTCTACACAATAAGCTTCTTGCAGACCTGGGCCAATAAAGCCATTTGCTCTGATACAGACTCAGCACAGACCAAATGTCAATGTGTGCCAAGGGACTGAGTCCCATGACCTTGCTCGCCCAAGGCCACCTGGGTGGGTGCAGTCTGAACATGTGCATGTGTCTGTCTTCCAGGATCCACTGCAGCTCTTTAACCATGGGCAGTATGAGCCTGGCACGCGGCCAGTATAATATGTTGCTTGAGTAGGTCTGGATACTAGTGTCCAGCTTCTTGTCAATACTTCATTCAACAGACATTGTGTTTGTTACTTTTATTATCGTGTGTGTGTGTGTACACATGATAGGTGTGTGCGGGCATGGCGGCACATGTGTCACAGGGCATGTGTTGTGGTCAGAGGATGACTGTGTGGAGTTGGTCCTCTCCTTCCACCCTTACATGGGGGAAGATCTGGGATTAAATTCAATTGCCACGGAGACCGTCCCACGAAGTCTTCTATGACGTGCAAGGACACAGCAGTGAATAAATCACACAGTCCCTGTCCTCATGCGGCTTCTGTTCTAGTGGAGGAAGCAGGAAGGAAAGGAATTACGAATGAACACTATTAGCCAGCCAGTGATGGCACCTGCCTTTAGTCCCAGCGCCCGGCAGTTCAGAGGCAGAGGCAGCTGACCTCTGGGAGTTCAAAGCCAGCAGGACAGGCAAGGCTGTGAAGTGAAACCCTGCCTCAAAATGCATCCCCCCCCCCAAAAAAAAACCTCTTGCTTTTTTGTTTTTTAGATTTATTTTATTTAATTATGTGTCTGTCTGTCTGTCTGAGAGTAAGTACAGGTGCCGGAGGAGGCTAGAAGTGTGGGATCCCTCTGAAGTTACAGGCAGCTCTGAGCTGCCTGGGGTGAATGCTGGGAGCCCAACTCCTGCAAACCCCAAAGAAGCCCTAATGTTTCCTACTGAGCAGGTGATGGATAAAGTGGGTCTGAGGATGCGATGGGGGTGCTTCTCTAAGGAGATGACACGCGGCCTGTGCTCTGAGGGAGAGCAGAAGCTCGAGAAGGTCCTGTACATAGAGACAGGCAGCAAGGACAAAGCGCCAAGCTTGAAGGAGTTTCTGGGACTTAGTAGGAATTCAGTTTTTCACCCGAAGGAGCTTCGTGGGAGCTGCCTAGAGTTAAGGAGGCAGCCTTGGGGACACTCACGACAGTTCCTGAGCCACGGGGCTGGAGGAGCAGAGGCAGCCCCTGAGAGTGCCCTCCTTGCCGCCCCGCCGGTTGCCTAGCACCTTCGGTAAACAGCAGGCAGGCTGGCAGGCCTTGCCCTTGCTCCCTTCCTTCCCTCTGACTGGCAACAGCTGTCCAGCTAGCAGCCCGAGGCCTTGCCAACATCCTCCCCTGGAATATTTCAGGGGTAAGTCAGAAAATGACCAGCAGCCTCCAAAATGCCTTTTCTCCCATATACCTTACATGGGAATATTGGGTTCTCTGGGTGTCGAGCTCCCTCCCCTTGGAAGGGAAAAGATGAAACACAAGGATGAAGACACACAGTCACAGGAGGCAACTGCCGTCACATACCTACCCCAAGCTGCCACACTGGCACACGTCGGCCCAGTCAGGTTCACACTCACACCCCGTTTCACATCTGTTCCACAGCCAGGGCTCGTTTTCCTGAAGAGCACTCACAACCGGCATCATCGTTCACACGCACCAAGCTGTCAAGTCATGAACTGCACTTCCACAGCTCACACGGGACAGGAACGGAGCCACGTGGGACAGACGACCCGAGATCGGTCTCCTGCTCCATACCCAGAACCCCTACCAGATGTTCCCAGCTGTGGGTGGGCACAAGGAACACAATGCACAAGCCACCCCGTCAACACACTGGCATCAGTTCCGCTTCTCCATTCCCAACCGCTGCTCAAGGGTTCGATTACACCGGTGTCCAGCCTCCTCCCGGCCTGGGCCTGCTGGGTGCACAGCATTCTTCTGCAATTGAATCAAAGCCCTCCTCCCTGCACGGGACTAAGTGGAAAAAAAATCAGAGGAAAAATGCCTGGGGCCCAGGTCTGGGAAGGGGCCCAACAACTTTTACTGGGGGTAGGGGAGGGTGCCTTCAGTGAGGAACTCTGCCCCGACACGGGCGGTGGAGCGAGGACTCAAGCGTGGGTATATATGCCTTGAAACACGACAGCAGCGGGCACAAGTGGGTCTCAGAAGACTTCCCAGGTTGGGGGGCGGGGGAAGGGAGGAGACCTGCGTTAAACACAGACTCAACTTTCCGGCCTTAAGCCTTTTTGCAGTTCTTTCTCAGCCCTTCTCTAACCCCAGCAGTGGCCCCCAGCTGTCCCCAGACGCATGGGGTGTGGCGGGTAACCCCCCTTCTCCAGCAGGCGCCCTGCCCCACCCCTTCACGACAGCTGCGGGACACCGGGAGGGTGGCCGCTTTCCAGGCAATTGTGCGGGTGGGGATCGCAGGGCGCTGACACGAGGGGCGCTGGGTCCCTCTGGGTACCCCGCCTCCATTGGGTCCGGGAACTGCTCCCCTGAGACTGCACAGCCCCCTCCTCCTCGCCAAGCAACCCGGGCCAGAAGGAAAGGTGGAGAGAGAAGAAGGTTCGGGAAGCGCGGCTGGGCCGCCCCTCATCTCACCCCACCCCAACCCCCACCCTCTTTCCCACCCTCTCCCCGCCCCCAGGGCCGCAGGGCCCGCGCCCTCCTCCCGCGGGAGATGGTCCGGGCCAAGTGGGCGCGTCCGGCCCGGGTCGCCGGGATCTGGTGTCCGCTGCAGCTGGCAGTGCGGCGGACGCGGGCACCGGCACAGCCGCCGGCGGGGCCGGCTATTAATAACGCTCCGGGCGAGCCCGGGGTCGGGCAGTCATGGCCAGTCCGGAACCCCTGCGCGGCGGGGACGGCGCCCGGCCTGCGAGGTAGGAGCCTCCAGGGCCCGTGTCGCCACCCAGTAGGAGAGGGGGTGCTAGGTGGGCTCCCGTCCTCCACCCGCGCGGCCCCTTCCTCGCCGTGGGTAGTGGTCCGGCCCGGGTGTGGCACGGGGCGGAGTCACCCGGGGAAGGGAGATGGGAGGCCCTGGTTTGGGGACCTGACACCTCTGGTGGTCTGTGGTATTTTGGGATACTTCTTCCATTGGCTGCATGAGAATTAATCCTTTCAGGCTAGCAACCTGTCAAGATTTACTTGGCTCAACTGGCTAAGCATAGTGCAAGTTTTATTTTTATTTTCCTTTATTTCTCATTCACTGTTCGTGGGGCAAGGAAGAAACCATTTGACAATCCACTGTATTTGAGCCACTTGGTGCAGGGTTGGGCACCTGCCAGCTTGAAGTTACGAGTCTGTTCAGTCAGCTTGTTCTTCCCTGTGTGGATCCGGTGAAGGCCTAAAGAGGGATTTTTCTCTTAGCCCAACGCTGGGCCATAGCTGGACCCAGCAGCTGCCCGCACTGTGGATCTGACCACTGGTGTGTGTGTGGAGTCGTTCTGTCCCAAGTCATGCTGTGGCCCAGAGACTTCCCGGTCTATCAAATCGTGGGAAGACTTCCTGGTACCCTCTGCTGTCACGTGAGAAGGTAGAGCTGAGCTGGACCTTAGGACATGCATTTTCCCTGAATTGCCCACACACATACTCACAAGCTTGACGTCAGACACAAGTTCTTGTGTGTCTGATGTCATACACACAACCAGTCACAGTCTGATGGACAGCGTTAAGGAGTTGTCCAAGTCCTCTGGGGACAGGGACAGAGCGGCAGTGGCACTGAGGTCAGGGGCCCCAGCTGAGCATGCTCCTCTCTGCTTGGCCTCCTGTAATCTGCGTCTTTGCCAGCTCAGTAGAGAAGCAGCTAGCTGTTGACAACATCTGGTACCCAGGGTGGCGTGGCAGCTCAGCCCAGAAGTCAGGAGGCCTGGGTCCTACACACCGGCTCTGCTACTTGACCTTGGGCAGATTTCCCCTTGGAGTTCAGTTGGCTTCTGATTGCCTTCCGAGGGCCCCACACTAGGGTACAGACAACTGGCTTTGTCCTCAGGATGTCCCCTCTCATCCAATGGACATGTGCACTTTCATAAAACAAAGTCGCTGCTCCGAAGGTGAGCTACATTCAGAATGTTGTGAGGACGCAGTGGGCCTCGTCTGGGATGGATTTGGAGAATGATCAGACATTTGTTAACTAAATCAATTTTTTTTTCTGGGCTTGGGAATGAATTTAGTAATTCCTACATGCTAGGCAAGTTCACCCCATCTCAGCCTCACCCCGTGACCCTACACTCCACCAACACCCTAGAAAGACATTCAGAGTCGAGTCAGGTGGTGGTGGCATGTGCCTTTAATCCCAGCACTCTGAAGGCAGAGGCAGGTGGATCTGTCTGAGTTCAAGACCAGCCTGGTCTACGAAGTAAGTTCCAGGACAGCCAGGGCTACTCAGAGAAACCCTGCCTCAAAAATAAAACAAAACGAAAAAAGACATTCTGAGTGCAATGCTCCAAACCCTCCTTAGGCCTATGCGCAGTCTCAGGCAGAGGGTGGCTCTGCTGCCTTCTTCAAAACTTCAAGTGTGCTTCCCACGCCTTGCACCCTGGTTTGCTCCTCTCTGCACTGGGCATAACAGATGAACAGCTAAAAGTGAGTGTTCATGTAAGCGCTTAGAATAGTGCCTCGAACGTGGTTAAGTCGTTCCAAGGTGGAACATGACGCAAAGGCCGTCAGCTGGGAAAGCGGGGACTCTGGCAGAGCAGGATAGGTGCGCCTGCCTGCCCGAGCAGGTGCTCCTTCCTAGCGCCAGGAGTCTTACCTTCTCCGGAAGCTCGGGTTAGTGTTTTTAGGCACATTGGCATTCAGGAAGTTGCATTTTTCAGCTAGATCCTTCAGATATTGTGGGCCCTGAGTAGGAGGTGTGAAAAGTTACCACATGTTCTGGCTTGTCAGGCGCTGGGGTGGGGGAAGGGGCTGCAGGGGTGATGTGAGCTGAGGCTAAAAATGGTGAGCTAGGACCACCTCTTTCAAACTCTGAGAGCTCAGAATGGAGACATATGTCTGTAGTCTCAGCACCTGGGAGGTTGAGGCAGGAGGATTGTTAAGACTTCCAGGTCTGGGACTGGAGAGATGGCTCAACTGTTAAGGGTACTTGGTGCTCTTGCAGAGGACCTGGATTGGGTACCCAGCACCCACGTGGTGGCTCACAGCCATTCATAACTCCAGTTCCAGGGGATCTGATGCTTCTTTTTGTTTGTTAGTTTTAGTTTTTTGGGGGACAGGGTTTCTCTGTGTAGCCCTAGCTGTTCTGGAACTCACTCTGTAGACCAGGCTGGCCTCAATTCAGAGATCCACCTGCCTCTGTCTCCGAGTACTGGGATTAAAGGTGTATGTCACCACTACCTGGCTCTGATGCCTTCTTTTAACCTCTGAGGGCACCATGTATACCTGTGGTGCATATACATGCATGCAGGCCAAGCATCCATTCATATAAAAATAAATAAATAGAAAAAAAAAAGAGAGCTCTAGGCCAGCTTGGACTATGTAGTGGGTACTAGGTCATCCTGAGCGTTACAGCAAAGGCTTTGGAAATGTGGCACGGAGCAACCGTGGTTTTTTTTTTTTTTTTTTTTTTCCGAGACAGGGTTTCTCTGTGGCTTTGGAGCCTGTCCTGGAACTAGCTCTGTAGACCAGGCTGGTCTCGAACTCACAGAGATCCGCCTGCCTCTGCCTCCCGAGTGCTGGGATTAAAGGCGTGCGCCACCATCGCCTGGCCTGAACAACCGCGTTGTAGCCAGCGAATTGTAGCTAGACTGAGCTGCAGAGAAGCAAGGAGGCCCGTTAGAAGGCAGGTACAGCTATGTGGTGGCGACACATGCCTTTCTTTATTCCCAGCACTCAAAAGGCAGAGACAGGTGGATCTCTGAGTTTGAGGCCAGCCTGCTCTACAGAGCAAGTTCTAGGACAGCCGAGGCTGCATAGAGAAACCCTGTCTTGAAAAACAAAAAGAAAGCTGGTACAAAATAGAGCAAACAGATGATGGCTTGGACTAGGGACCTGACAGTGGATGGAAGAGGCTGGACGGAGGCTGGAGGCTTCCTCTGGTAAGGGTCAGTTTTCAGGGAGATAGTTACATGGAGCAGGAACCAGCAGTGCACGTCTCTTGCTAATCTACCTGCTTTGGGGGCTTGGAGAACTGTAATTTGAGTGCAGCCTGAGTTCCACCCCCAAAACCCATACATAAGGAGAGAACTGCCTCTCTCATAAGCTGTTCTCTGACCTCACCGTTTACACTGTGACACACACACCACCCTCCCAACACACAGGCGTACATATTAAATAGATAAAATGTAAAAAGTATGTAAATTTGAAGCAATCACCTCATCCCTTCATTTTTCCCCCCTCGTGACAGGGTTCCTCTGTGTAGCCCTGACTGTCCTGGAACTCACATTTTAGATCGGGCTGGCCTCGAACTCAGAGATCTGCCTGCCTTTGCCTCCTGAGTGCTAGGATTAAGGCATGCACCACAGTCACCAGATTTTTTTTTTTTTCTCATACAAGGTCTCAACATTTTGCTCTGGCTGGCCTGGAACTTGCAGTGTAAATCCTACTGGATTAGGACCTATGCAAAGCTCCCTGCTTCTGCATGGGATTAAAGGCATGCACAATAATGCCCACCCACTTTTTCCCCTAAAGAAGAAGAGTTTGATTATCTTCACCTGGTACTTTTTGACACCTCAAGCTCAGCTGCCCCCAAATTATAGTTCTCTTGAAGCTGGGTCTATGGCTCGATCAAAACAGTACTGGTTGGATGCCGCCAACCACCTGTAATTTCAGCCCTGGAAGGAGGAGATGGGAATCCCCAGAGCAGGCTGGCTGGGAAGGTTAGCCAATCTGTGAGCTCTGGGTTTGATTGAGAGACCCTTCCTGTTGGAGGAGGCTGCTTGGAACCTGGCTGCGCGTGGAACCTAAATAATCACACAGAAACTGTATTATTTAAATCACTGCTTGACCCATTAGCTCTAGTTTCTTATTGGCTAACTCTTACATCTTAATTTAACCCATCTCCATTCATCTTTGCATCACCACGAGGCCATGGCCTACCAGCGAAGTTTCAGCACACCTGTCTCCAGCAGCGGCTTTATGGCTTATCCCTGACTCCGCCTCCTTTCTCCCAGCATTCCGTTTAGTTCCCCTGCCCCCAGCTCTATTCCCCTATAGCTCTGCTATAAGCCCAAAGCTGTTGCTTTATTAACCAATGATATTCACAGCATGCAGAGGGGACTCCCACACCACCTTCCTCGAGGATTAAGGGGGAAAAGCTATTCAGCATGGTTCTCAATATTAGTGTTTGGATCCATGGGCACATATGTGCATGTGTACGTATACATATATGGGTGCCAGACTGAATTTGGACTCTATGCAGCCGAGGATGATCTTGAACTTCTGATTCTCCTGCTTCTACTTCCTGAGGGCTGGGGTCATAGAAATGTACCACCAACCTGTTTGCTTGTTTGTTTGTTTTTTAAGTCTTATGACAGCATTCTGCTTGCATGCATGCCTGCACACCAGAAGAGGGCATCAGATCTCATTATAGGTGGTTGTGAGCTACCATGTAGTTACTGGGAACTGAACTCAGGACCTCTGGAAGAGCAGTGAGCACTCTTAACCGCTGAGCCACTTCTCCAGCCCCACACCTGGTTTTATGTAGTGCCAGGATCAAACCCAAGGCGTCCTAAATGTTGCTTGAGCACTATACCAACTGAGCTATGCTTCTGTGTTCACGTGCGTGCACATACGTGTGCGCGTGTGTGTAGGCCAGAGGTCAATTTTGGGTGTGCTCCTCAGCACTGAAACTGGAGCTCACCAGTCAAGCTACAGTAAGTCTCTGGGGTTCTCCTGTTCTGTCTACTCGGTGCTAGGCTTAGTGTGACCACAGCATCTGGATTTTTGCATGGGTCCTGGGGATCCAAATTCAGGTTGTCATTCTTGTGTGGAAAGCAAGCACATTACTGACTGGAGCCATCTCCCCAGCCCCTTGGTTTTGTTTCGTTTCCAGTTTTTTTCAAAGATTTTCTCTGTGCAGCCCTAGCTGTCTTGGAACTCACTTTGTAGACCAGGATTGTCTCAAACTCACCAAGAGCCCCTGCTTCTGCCTCTAGAGTGCTGGGATTGAAGGTGTGTGCCACCACTGCCTGGCGGCGGCTGTGGCTTTTTATTTATTTGGTTTTATGTTTAATTTTTAAAATTTATTTTTGGTATGTATGTGGGAAGGGGTACATGGGACCAGAAGAAGGTGTCATACCCCTCCCTAAACTGGAGTTGTAGGTGGTTGTGAGCCATCATGAGGATGCTGGGAGCCAAACTTTGGGTCCTCTGCAACAACACCCCAGAGCTCTTTACCACTAAGCCAGCTGTCCAGCACTGCCCCCCCACTTTAAATATTTACTTACTTATTGGGGGGTGCACTCATGGGACAGCTTGTAGAAACTGGTTCTTTCCATTCAGACACCAGGGATTGAAGTCAGTTTATCAGTCTTGGTGGTGAGTGCCATTATGTGCTGAGCCACTCCCTGAACCCCCTTTTGTGTGTGAGAGGGCAGACTCTCATGAAACCAGGTTGACCTCAGTTCTCTAAGTACCTGAGGCTGGCTTTGAGTTCCTGACCCCCTCCTTCCATCCCCCAGGTCCCGGGATTGGAGGCGTGTACTACCTACCACGTTTGTCTTTCCTTGTTTTCCTAAGACAGCCTTTCCATGTAGACCCTTGGACATGTTGTATAGAACTGTGGGGCACCCGGCGGTGTCTGAGAGTGAGTTTTCTGTTCTTTAAGCCACCTAAGCAGAGGCTAGCCAGTGACGCTGTGTGCCGTCAGGGAATGCAAACAGTGGACTGGCTGGCTGTGGAAGAGGCAGCTTAGCAAGGGAGTAGCTAGAGTCTGCGAAGCTGCTGCAGCTAGCCCTGAGGTGGAGGCCCTGTTGACTGGTCAAACAGAATGGGGCTCTCGGGCTCTCCTTCACGTCCATCATCTCTCTTGTAGGGAAACAGGCACAGAGGCCAGTTCTCTTCAGGACGCCAAAACCCGGGAGGAGGCCATCACTTTGAGCCCAGAGGCTACTCTATCTTTGGAGGGGACTGTGAACCTAGACGACATTCTCTATCTGGGGGACTCGGTGGACTTTGAAGAGAGCCTCTACGTGGAAGAGTCTGAGAAGCCAGAGGAGACACTATGTATCGATGAATCGAGGCAGCCAGAGGAAGCTCTGGATCTGGAAGAGCCGGTGAGTTCAGAGGAGCCCTTGTTTGTGGAGGAGCCTGTGAAACCAGATGAAGTACAGTTGTCCCAGGAGCCTGTAGAGCCAGCTAAGAACCCAAGCCCGGAGCAGACTGCTTCTGAGGGAGAAATGGTGGCCCCGGAGGAAAGCCTTCCGGCTCCACCGATTCCCAGCACAGAGGAGGACCTCAGCATGGAGGACCTGGAGCTGCTGGAGGGCCGTTTCGAGGAGTGTGTACAGGCTGTATCCCAGTTGGAAGAGGAGAGGGACCAGCTTATCCACGAGCTTGTGCTGCTCAGGGAACCAGCCCTGCAGGAGGTGCAGCAAATCCACAGGGACATCCTGGCTGCCTATAAACTGCACGCCCAGGCCGAGCTGGAGCGGGATGGGCTCAGGGAGGAGATCCGGATGGTGAAGCAGAAGCTGTTCAAGGTGACCAAGGAATGCGTGGCCTACCAATACCAGCTGGAGTGCCGCCAGCAGGACGTGGCTCAGTTTGCCGATTGCAAGGAAGCGCTGAGCACTCGGGCAGCCCAGCTCTCGGGAGAACTTACCCAGCTCCGCGACGCCTATCAGAAACAGAAGGAGCAGTTGCAGCAGCAGCTAGAAGCACCCCCAACCCAGAGCGATGGGCACTTCCTCCAGGAGAGTCGGCGGCTGTCGACACAGTTTGAAAACCTCATGGCAGAAAGCCGCCAGGGCTTGGAAGAGGAATACGAGCCTCAGCTGCTGCGGCTCTTGGAGAGGAAAGAGGCAGGGACCAAAGCGCTGCAGGACACCCAGGCCGAGATCCAAAAGATGAAGGAGGCGCTGAGACCCCTGCAAGCCGAGGCCCGGCAGCTCCACCTTCAGAACAGGAACCTGGAGGACCAGATCACACTCGTGAGGCAGAAACGTGACGAGGAGGTTCAACAGTACAGGGTAGGCCTTGCCCTCTGTGTCGGAGAGTTTTGCTATGTCGTTCAGGCTGGCCGGGAGACCTTAAGAAACTCAAGACCCTTCCTGCCTCAGCCGTCTGAGTGCTGGGATTATAGGTGTGTGCCACCATAGCCAGCAGAAGTGATGTCATTTAGGTGAAGGGAAGTCTGAGGTCTGTTTTATTTTTTCCTTCCAAGATAAAGTTTCTCTGTGTAGCTTTGGCTGGTCTAGAACTCACTCTGTAGACCAGGCTGGACTCAGACTTAGAGATCCACCTGCTTCAGCCTCCTGAGTGTTGGAACTATCAGTGTACCATACCCAGAAGGTCTAACGCATTTGGGGTGGGGTTACCATTCAGTGTGAAAGCAGGGACCTGCTCCTGGGTCCGCTAACTCATTCTTTCCCCTGGCTCTGTATTAGTTTCATTTGGTTAAGGCCAGCATTAGGATTTGATGGGTATTTGAATTCTTGGTGTACACAGCTGTTTGTGTGTGTTGGGGATTGAGCCCAGGGTCTTGTGCTTGTTTGGCAAGCACTCCACCACTGAACTATATCCCCTCCCCACCCCTTTTTAAAAAATCTTACTCTGTTTACTTTATGTATATGGATGTTTTATCTGCATGTATGTATGTGCACCATGTGCATGCATTGCCCAAGGCGGCCAGAAGAGGGCAATGGATCCCCTGGAACTGTGAGCTACAGTGAGGGTGCTGGGAACTACACTTGGGCCCTCTTCAGAACACCAAGCTCTTATCCCTTGAGCCATTTCTCTAGCTCCACACTCCACCCTGACAATTATTTTCACTTTTGGTTTATATAACTCTGTTGGGGGGGCAGTGGATCCTGGGGATTGGACCCAGGGCTTCATGCATGCTTGGCAAGCTCTCTACCACGGAGCTTTATCCTCAATCCTCTCTCTCTTTAATAGATTTTGTTTGTTTTTTTTGAGACAGGATTTTTCTGTGTAACAGCCCTGGACTCACTCTGTAGACTAGATTGGCCTTGAACTCACAGAGACCCTCCTGCCTCTGCCTCCTGAGTGCTGGAATTAAAGATGTGCACCGGGGCTGGAGAGATGGCTCAGTGGTTAAGAGCATTGCCTGCTCTTCCAAAGGTCCTGAGTTCAATTCCCAGCAACCACATGGTGGCTCACNTGTGTTTGTTTGAGATAGGGTTTCTCTGTGTAGCCCTGCCTATTTTGGAACTAGCTCTGTAGACCAGGCTGGCTTCGAACTCAGAGATCTACCGGTCTCTGCCTCCCATACACTGGGTTTAAGGCGTGTGCCACCACTGCCCACCAAAAAAAAAACTTTAAAAAGAGAGAAAATTTATCAAGCTGTACTTATGACATAGATACTTCTGTGGTTATATATTATACTATATAAGAAATATCTTAAAAATGAAAGATTTAAGAATAGATAAAAATTTCCTAGGAGTGTAAGTACAGCTATAGGTACACACATAGAATGTACAAGGCCCTGGGTACTATCCCAGCATGGCAAGACAAAGCCAAGAGGTCTAGTTTTTTTTTTTTTAATATTTATTTATTTATTATGTATACAATGTTCTGTCTGTGTGTATGCCTGCTGGCCAGAAGAAGGCACCAGACCCCATTACAGATGGTTGTGAGCCACCATGTGGTTGCTGGGAATTGAACTCAGGACCTTTGGTAGAGCAGGCAATGCTCTTAACCTCTGAGCCATCTCTCCAGCCCCTGACTAGGTTAGTCTTGAACTCACTCAGTAGCTCAGGCAGGCCTTGAATTTGAGATCTCCCTGCTTCTTCCCCCCATGTAGCTAGGATGGCAAGCCTGTGCTACCAGGGTAAAATGGGCTACCATACCTGGCTTGGATTCTTAGGTTTTAAACACAAGGAACTGGGGCTCAGTAAAGTAGTTTGAACCTGTGTCTGCCTACTTCTTCCTCGGAAGTCTTTTTAAATTCTAACTCAACAGTGACTCATGCTTGGCTATAGGGAGAGCCCAAGAGGCAGAGTCCAATGAGTTCATTCCCTCCTCTACCGGCCGCATTCACCCCCAAATACCACCTAGCCATCGTCCAGGGTTTGGGCTGGAATCTCTGCATTTTCCTTTTTTGTACATGCCACCATATCCCTGTTCCCGAGTTATTTCTGATTAAGTGTGAGCCAGTTCTAAGTCCTTTTTAGAAGAGTGGGGTATAAATACCGTGTGGATAAACAATTACGTCTGCGGCTGCAGACTGGGCGTGCGGAAGGCGGGGGCTATCTCTACTGATCTCCTTTTATTGTCTGCCCCACAGCTTAGGGGGACACACTAGGCAGATGCTGAGCCAAGAGTTGCTAGGCATGCTGAGAACGCTTCCACGTGGGGCCTTTCACAGCCAGCTTTGTTTTCAGACAGGGTCTCCAGCAGCCCAGACTAGCCCCAAAGTAAATGTTACCTGGGGCTCCAGATAACTCCTGCCTTCCTGCGGTCTCACTCCTGCCATCCTCCTGCCTTAGCCTCCCAAATCCTGGGAGGATAGCCATGCGCCGTCATATCTAACTTGCTACATTTGCCTTTCGAAACATTTATCTCCTTGTATAAACTTGAAATTGTATGTCTTTCCCTCAAGAGAAATCTTGGAAATGGTTTGCTGAGTATCTTACTGTAGTGCTTATGATTTTTCAAAAGATTTTATTTTTACTTATTTATTTACTTTTTGGTTTTTCAAGACAGGGTTTATGTGTAGTCCTGGCTGCCAAGGAACTCACTCTGTAGACCAGGCTGGCCTCAAACTCACATGTTCCGCCTGCCTCTGTCTCTCCAGTGCTGGGATTAAAGGGGGGCCACTACACCCGGTTAAGATTTTATTTTTAATTATGTGTATTTTTTGGGTAAGTGCACATGCATGCTGGTGCCGTCAGAGGCTGGAGGCATGGGATCCCCTGGGAGCTGGCCTTACAGGTGGCTGAGAGCTGCCCGATGTGGATGGGAATCGAACTCAGGTCCTCTGCAAGAGCCACTTCTCTGGCCCCATGTATGCTGTTTTTAAGACAGTGTCTCACCGTAGAGGACATGCTGGCCTCAGACTCTGCTCTCCTGTCTCTGCCTCAGGGGTTGAGGTTTCAAGGCCTATCCCACCTCCTAGCTCCAAATTCTGTTTTTCTGAAAGGGTCGCCAAACAGCGTTTGCTGTAGACTTTCCTGTTTCATTCTGGTTACTTGTCGAGGGTGCCCTGGGATTTCTCAGGCTGGGCCTGCCCCCTCGGAGTCAGTCCGCTGATATCATCACCGCCACCATCCCTCCATTCACCGTTTCTGTGTCTCGTATGAATCAGGCTCAGGCGCTGGCAGGAAAGACAGAAAATAGTCGGGGATGACGTGTTGCTGTTCTCCCAGTTTGCAGTCTGGGAGAGATGCCAGACAAAACGAACGTTTTCATAGAATCCAAACATCATCGATGTTGAACAGGTTTCCTAAGTTGGGGATGTAGCTCAGTGGTAGGCAGCTTGCTTGGCATGCACGAAGCCCCGGGCTTGCCTTCTGCTATTGCACACACAGAAAGAGAGAAGAATGAGGCCTGACATGGTGACATCACCTTTACCACCAGCAAAGAGGATGCAGAGGCAGGTGGATCTCTGAATCCGAAGCCAGCCTGGCTTATAGGGTGAGTTCTAGCCCCTCCCCCTGTACCAAAAATGCTTGATTTGAGAAGGTTAACTATGGCAATCTCAGACTCGCTGGAATATGCAGTTCGAAGTGAATGTACTTCAATGTCCTGAGCCGTAGGACAGGCCTGGGAACAGTCTCTGTATGGATGAACTAGGTATGCTCACTCCCATCTGGGGAAACAAGGGGGATGGCGAGTGACTAACAGTAACTATTATGTATTAGAAAGTTCTCCGCAGAATTCATTACGTCTCATACCTCTGGGAGGTACAAAATGTTTGGGAACTGAGCAGAGAGGGGAGACAGAGGAGCCGTTTGTCTGGCGTCGACCACTCCAGCGTAGAAAGCATGAGGATGAGGTTTGTGCACGGTGATAGATATGGGTCTATTTTCATTCTTCTACATGTTGATATCAGTTATGCCAGCACCACTTGTTAAATATGCTTTCTTTTTTCCATTTGATATTTTTTGCTTCTTTATCAAATATCAGGTTTCGAAGATGTGTGGCTAGATATCCGGGTCTTCTATTTGGTTCCATTGGTCCTCCTGTCTGTTCTTATGCCAGTACCAGGCTGTTTTCAGTACTGTAGCTATATTTTTTAAAAAATATTTATTTATTTATTTATTATGTATGCAATGTTCTGTCCGTGTATATCCCTGCAGGCCAGGAGAGGGCACCAGACCCCATTACAGATGATTGTGAGCCACCATGTGGTTGCTGGGAATTGAACTCAGGACCTTTGGAAGAGCAGGCAATGCTCTTAACCGCTGAGCCATCTCTCCAGCCCTGTAATATATTTTTTATATTTTATTTCAATTTATTTTATGTGTAGTGGTGTGAAGGTATCAGATGCCCTGGAACTGGAGTTACAGACTGCTGTAGCTGAGCTGCCATGTGGGTGCTGGGAATTGAACCCAGGTTCTCTGGAAGAGCAGGCAGTGCCCTTAACAGCTGAGCCATTTCTTCAGCCCCTATATAATAAATTCTGATCACATTTACCCACTCCCTTTTCTTCCCTCACCTCTGCCAAGCCCTCCCTCTGTGTTTTTGTTTTTGTAAGTCTCTTTAGCAGAGCAATGTGAAGTGCCAGGCACTTCATTTTGGCCTTCTGGGCTTTCACAGAGAAGACAGATGAGTCTGTGTCTAAGGAAAGTAATGAGGGGTGAGCTCAGAACCAACTGCAAATCCTGGCCCCACTCCCTCCCAGGTCAAACAGGATCATATTCGATTTTAACCAAAAGGCCAAGAGACAGTAAAAATGGGATTTCCAGGCGGAGAGATGGCTGGTGGCCGGGAGGAGCTTGCTGCTCTTGCAGAGGTCATTCCCAGTATCTGCATTGGGCCATTTGCACCTTCCTGTAACCCCAGCTCTGAGGAATCCATGCCCTCTTTCTTCTGAGTGCCCTAGGCACTGCACACACTTGCTGCATGTATATACACCAAGGTATCGAGGCGCGTTATTAGTTTTTAGAAACTAGGACTGAAGGTCGCTTTCCAGGTTGCATAGAGTGAGCTAGTTATTGTTGGTGAAGCTCCTACAGTGGTGCCAGGCTCATGTGAGACATGGTGTCGTTAGCCTTGGCTGTCCTGGAACTAGCTCTTGTAGACCAGGCTGGCCTCAAACTCACAGAGATCCGCCTGCTTGTGCCTCTTAAGTGCTGGGATTAAAGGCGTGCGCCACCACTGCTGGCTGACTTTGGAGTTTATTAAAGAATATTGATGGACTGGAGAGATGGCTAAGTGGTTAAGAGCACTGACTCCTCTTCACTGCTCAACCATTAATTTAAAAATTTTATGTATGGGTGTTTTGTCTGCATGTATGCATGCATGTAGTGCCCAAGGAGGCCGGAAGGCAGCATCAGATTCCATGGAACTGGAGTTACAGTTGCTTGTGAGCTGATATGTGGATGCCGGGAATTAAACCTGGGTCCTATGAAAGAGCATCAAATGCTTAAACATTGAGCCATCTCATCAACTGATGGTGGCACACACCTTTAATCCCAGCACTCCGGAGGCAGTGGCGGGCGGATCTCCGAGTCTGAGGCCAGCCTGGTCTACAGATCGAGTTCCAGGACAGCCAGGGCTACACCAAGAAACCCTGTCTCAAAAAACCAAAACCAAACCAAACACTGAGGCATTTCTCTAGTCCCCCCACCCCTTCTTTTAATAAAGGGTCTATTGAGCCTTGGCTGCCCAGAAATTATTCTGTGGATCAGGTGGCTTCTACTCACCTATGCCTGCTTCGTAAAAGGTGTCCAGCTTCACCCAGCTTTCTGAGATGGTCTTCATTGGCCTGGTGGTGGTGGGGCCAGATTTGCTAGACTGCAGAGAGCCGCCAGGCACGTGCCTGTCTCTGTCCCCCCTTCCCAAAACTGGGATTGTAAACACCCATGATTCTGGGGATTAACAGGTTCTCATATTGTGTGGTCAGCACTTCACTACGCAATTTCTCCATGTATTTATTTTTTTCCGCTTTTTAAGGTTTTTTTTGACACAGGCTCTCTACACAGCTCTGTCTTGGAACTCAGTATGTGGAGCAAACCGGTACTGAACTCACAGAGCTCTGCTGGGGTTAAAGGTGTGTGTCATCTCACCCAGCCTTTTCTTTTTCTTTTTTAACTTTTTTGAGATGGAGTCTCAGGGACTCCAGGCTCGAGTCTGGGTGGAGTGCTGGGGTCAGAGGCAAGCATCACCGCGCTGTCTCTATGCACCTTGTGGCATCATCCCACCCCCACCCATGTGCTTTGCTTTACTCAAAGTGGGGCAGTGTGCAGAAACCGCCCTTCAGATGTCACGTTCCTAGGTGGTGTGGTCCCCCAGGCAGGGCTGGACACTAAAAAAAGAGCTTTTGATAGTGTTGGTTAAAGTGGAGCTTCCGCAAGGGCCCAGATCACAGATGGATGCACCTCTGAACAATATCAAAGCTGACTCAGATCAGAGCACCTTCTAATAATAGCAGTGCCCAAAACAGATTCAGTTATTTCTCAACTGCCCTCAGAAGACATCCTCACAGGCTGTAACACCCTGTGTCCCCAGGGCCCCGACCCTTTGGAGACAAGGTCACAGACAGCCCAGGCCAGCCTGGAACTTCTGATTCTGCCTCCAACTCCAAAATACATTTGCCACCGCAATTTATGCTGTGCTGGGGGTCAAACTCAGGGCTTTGTGGACAGAAGGCACCATACCAAGTGAGCCACATCCCAGCTTCCCCATCCTGATCCTTCAAGGATCCAAGCCAGACTTGCTGAGCATCTTCCTTTCCTCCCTGAACTCAAGACAGTAGAGCGCTCAATGGCTATCCTCAGCACCACACACAAGTTGCTAGCCTATACTCATTTAAAGGTAGTGTCTTATGTAGTCCAGGCTAGCCCCAGGTTCATTATGTAACCAAGAATGGTTTTATTGAACTTCAGGATCCTCTAGCGTCCACCTTCAGAGTGCTTGTGTGTTCCACCATGCCTACTTCCTAAAATGTTTCTCCTTTCAGTGCTGAGGGTGACTAGGGTGTGGGCATGCTGGCAGGTGCTCTACCACTGACCTACAGCTCTAGCCCTTTATTCCGGTTTGACTCTGGTTTTAGCTGTGAAATGATTTTTGAAAAAATGTGTTTATTTTCTGTGAACTGGTGTGAAGGTATGAGATTCCCTAGAACTGGAGTTACAGACAGTTGTAAGCTGCCAGGTAGGTGGGGGAATTGAACCCAGGTCCTTTAGGAAGAAGTCCCAGTGCTCTTAACTGCTGAGCCATCTCTTCAGCCCCCATGAAATAATTTTTTTAAAAATATTTATTATATATACAATATTCTGTCTGCATGTTTGCCAGCAGGCCAGAAGAGGGCACCAGATCTCATTACAGATGGCTATGAGCCACCATGTGGTTGTTGGGAATTGAACTCAGAACCTTTGGAAGAGCAGGCAATGCTCTTAACCACTGAGCCATCTCTCCAGCCCCCATGAAATGATTTTTAAACCTTTAAGAATCTCAATAATTGACAAAGTGCAGATAAATCCTTAACACCTTCCAACTCATATAAAGTTAAAAATACCTTAATATGCTTCTGGAAGAAAGTTTATGGATTATGAGGAACATCAGCAACTGACTTAGCACTAAGTTAATGTCAGGCACTAAGCCTCTAGGTACCTTTTGTTTGTTTGCTTATTTATTTATTGTTTTTCGGTTTTTCGAGACAGGGTTTCTCTGTAGCTTTGGAGCCTGTCCTGGAACTAGCTCTGTAGACCAGGCTGGCCTCGAACTCACAGGGATCCACCTGCTTCTGCCTCCCGAGTCTCTAGGTATCTTTTTTTTTTTTCAAAGATTTGTTCATTTTGTCTTGCTTTTATGTGTGTATGTGTGTACATGTGTGTTTGGTACCCACGGAGGGGAGAAGAGGGCATCAGATCTGGAGCCTAGAACTATTTATCAATAGTTGTGAACCACTGTGTGGGTGCTGGGAATCCAACCTGGGTCCTCTGCAAGAGTAACAAGTGCTCTTAACAGCTGAGCCATCCATCTCTCCAGCTTCCCTTTCCACTGTTGTTAAGATTTAAATAATAAAATGATTGGTAAACTTTTTTTTTCTTTTTAAGTTTTTCAGCAGGGTTTTTTGCGTAGCCCTGGTCTAAAACTCAGAGACCCTCCTAGCAGCCCTGGAGTGCTCAGGTTAAAGGCGTGTCCACCACCACAGGGCATTTTCACAATATTGTCACCTTGTCAAGATACTTTTTTTTTTTTTTTCGAGACAGGATTTCTCTGTGGTTTTGGAGCCTGTCCTGGAACTAGCTCTTGTAGATCAGGCTGGTCTCGAACCCACAGAGATCCGCCTGCCTCTGCCTCCCTAGTGCTGAGATTAAAGGTGTGTGCCACCATTGCCCGGCTTTTTGTGTTTTTGAGACAGGGTTTCTCTATGTAGCCTTGGCTGTTCTGAGTGTTGGGATTAAAAGCGTGAGTCATCACCACCAGGCCTCAGAACTGATTTCTTAACCTATCCTATGAAGGTAGTATCAATCTCAGTATCACTATATTCAATGATACAGGTCGGGCATAGTGGTGAATCTCTTTTCCCTGCATTAAAGAGGCAGAGGCAGGTGGATCTCTGGGTTCTAGGCCAGTTTGTTTACTACCATGTTCCAGGACAGCCAGGATGCACAGAAAAACTGTGTATGTGAGGGGGAAGGGGGACCAAACCAACCACACGGTAACAAAACAATCACACAACAATGTGAAGTGCTGTATATAGCAGATGTCAGGTATCTATCGTCTGGCTCACAAACATCTGGCCCTTCTGCACAGGAGCAGCTGGAGGAGATGGAGGAGAGACAGAGGCAGTTACGAAGCGGCGTGCAGGTCCAGCAACAGAAGAACAAAGAGATGGAGCAGCTGAGGACCAGCCTCGCTGAAGAGCTCTCAACGTATAAGTCAGTTTTCTCTGCTTCCCAAGCCACGTCTACTACTGACTGATGGGGGGGGGGGGGGGGGGCTCATGGAATATCTTATCTGACGAAAGAAAACAAAATCATTTGGGGAACTGACTTTCAAACAGTTGGAAACCGGCTCTCTCTTTTTAAAGGGCTATGCTACCCAAGAGTCTGGAACAGGCTGATGCAGCTACTTCTCAGGCAGGTGGAGTCGAGGCCCAATCCCAAGGTGATCTTCGTGCACAGATGACAGGGGGTTTGCTCGTTATCGCTGCTTTCCTAACAGTACTAACTAATGCCTTATTCTGGAGGGTCTTAGCTGTTACCCTTACTTGGGATTCTCTTACCTTAATCTGCGTAGTTACAGGCATGTGCCTCTGTACCTGGTTACTTAATATCCTTTTATTATTGCTATTGCTATTTTTTGGTTTTTCAAAACAGGGTTTCTCTGTATAACCAGCGTGGCTGCTCTGGAACTTGCTTTGTAGACCAGGCTGGCCTCGAACTCAGAGATCTGCCTGCCTCTCCCTCCTAAGTGCTGGGATTAATGCCTGAGAAAGCTTTAATTTTTAATGAGACACAAAATTACATTTGGCCATTTTGCTGAGCCTCACCAATAATATTTTTGAGACAGGTCTCACCTTGTAGCTTTGGTTGGCCTTTTGTGTAGGCCATGTTGGCCTTGAACTCACAGAGATCCACTTTCCTCTGTCTTCCAAGTACTTGGATTAATTACCACGATAGTCAAGAGCTTTTTGTGTTTTATTTTTCAAGATAGAGTTTCTCTGTAGCTTTGGAGCTTTCCTGAACTAGCTTTTGTAGACCAGGCTGGCCTCGAACTCTCAGAGATCAACCTGCCTCTGCCTCCTGAGTGCTGGGATTAAAGGCGTGCACCACCACCATCCAGCATCAATAACTTTTATATTACAGATATATCATCTAGTGGCTGGAGACGGTTCAGCAGTTAAGAATGCTAGCTGAGAATACAGGTTTGGCTCCCAGAACTCACATGCAATTCAATTGTCTATAACTCCAGTTCTAGAGGATCTGGTGTCCTCTTCTGGCCTTTATGAGCACCAGGCACAGGCATACATGCAGGCAAAACATTCACTCACATGTAAAATAAAAGATATTTAAAGCAAAATCCAGGCTCTATATATATACATCCTTTCAACTCTGATATTCAGTTTCCTTGGTATGGCACAAAAGACAATCCTAGTATCAAATTAACACTGACAAAGAAGGCCAACAGGAATAAATGACTCACTTAAAAAACCATTGAAGATACTCCTGGAGCCCAAATTTAGTCAATGTATAAAATAATCACCAAACATGTCCACTCATCTGTCAGAGAGGGTTTGAGTACAGTACCCGTGGAGCACAGAAGCTAAAGGCAGTTATGGGCTACCCACCCCATTGGGTGCCGGGAACCACACTTATGTCTTCTCGAAGAGCAGTGTGTGCTCTTAAATGCTAAACCATCTCTCCAGCCCCTTTTCACATAATAAAAGTACAAAAGCTGGGGACTTATTTAGTTGGGAAGTTTTAGGGCAAGAAGGGGGGAAAAACCCAGATGCTAAGTTGTATACAATACAGATATGTCCATACATTTTCTTTCCTAAATTTGGATACCAACTGGTAAGCAGTAACTCCAACTGATTCATTCTGTAAGTTTCTAGATTTTCTTTTATGGTTATGCTGATCATCTGGGAGTTACAACCCTGCAATTGACAATGACCTGATGAGCTCTTTTGTATGGACTGGAAAGGATAACAATCTAAACAGAGGGTCTGAGCAGAGGATGCAGCTCAGATAGTGGAGTGCATGTATAGCATGAACAAAGCCCCAGCACTGCATAACTGGGGCGGGTGGTGCACGTCTGCAATCTGGTGCCTGTGAGACAAGAGCACCCTAAACTCAAGGACTGCCTGGGCTGAAGGAGACGAGCTAGAGATGGTGCAGTGCTGTGGGGCACTTGTTCTTGCAGGGGACCCAGGTTTGAGTCCCAGAGCCCACAGCCACCCATAATTCAAGTTCTGGGGCATCTGACACCCTTGTCTGGCCTCCTCAGGCACCAAGCATAACACATGCAGGCAAAGTGCGCGCGCACACACACACACACACACACACACACACACACACACTTGAAAAGATCAGGCGATGGTGACACACGCCTTTAATCCCAGTACTCAGGAGGCAGACGCAGGAGGATCTCGAGTTTGATGCCAGCCTGGTCTATAAGAGCTAGTTCCGGGGCAGCTTGAGCTGTTACATAGAGAAATCCTCTTTCAAAAAAAAGGACAACAAATTAAAAGAACAAAAAGAACATTTGTTGCTCGTGTGAGGGAACATGGGTCAGTTTCCATCATTCTCATCAGGCAGTTTTCAACTCCTGTGACTCCAGCTCCAGGGGATATGGTCTCTCTTTCAGGCCTCCAAAGACACAAGACACAGGTGCACACATGCACAAAATCTTAAAAACAAAACTTAAAAACAACACCCACATGACAACTTACAACAGTGTAACTCCAATTCTAAGGGATCCAATGTCTCTTTCTGACCTCCATGGGCTCCTGTGCACAAATCACACACACACTCAAAAGTCAAAACAAAACCACCAGAACTTTGAACTTGTCCTGCCTCATCCCGAGTGCTAAAATTGTTGCTTACTTTATTCTCTCACCCCACTGTCACAGATGAGTATATTTAGTTTTTTTAAAAAAATATTTATTTATTATGTATACAATATTCTGTATGTGTGTATGTCTGCAGGCCAGAAGAGGGCACCAGACCTCATTACAGATGTTTGTGAGCCACCATGTGGTTGCCGGGAATTGAACTCAGGACCTTTGGAAGAGCAGGCAGTACTCTTAACCACTGAGCCATCTCTCCAGCCCTTAGTTTTTATATTGTAGCCAGGTATGGTGGTACCAGGCACATGACTTTAACCTCAACACTAAGGAGGCAGACTGGATCTGAATTAAAGGCCAACCTGATCTACATAGTCAACTTCAGGTCAGGCAAGGCTACATGGTAAAATCAAACTAGTCTACTCTAAGAAAACCTTGGAAGCTCATTGTTATAAAATTTTCTAGCCGGGCGGTGGTGGCGCACGCCTTTAATCCCAGCACTCAGGGGGCAGAGGCAGGCGGATCTCTGAGTTCGAGACCAGCCTGGTCTAAAGAGCTAGTTCCAGGACAGGCTCCAAAACCACAGAAAAACCCTGTCTCGAAAAAAAAAAAATTTCTAATGTATTATTTCAAATTGTACAAAGTGCAAACTTAATTGTATCTCTTTCAATCTTACAGGAACTCTTTAGAAATGTATGGCCGGATATGTAACCCAGAAACAACAAAGCATTTGTATCAAAGCACCACCAGGGATGGACTTTTCACCAAACAGGAGAGTGCCAGCAGCGGGCAAGCAATTCATCCTGTGAAAATTGCCCAGAGATTTTAGGGTTGGCTGGAAGCAGAATACCAGTCAACTGGTACTATCTGGATTCTTTTCTGTAGGCTGCGAGTACTGATCTTAATGCACTGTGGGATGGGAAATGAGACTTTTTATCCTTCAGCAGCACACTGGGTATAACAGATTTATCACATCTGGCAATATTGTGAAGATTATTTATTGCTTTGTGTTGACCCAAACCAGAAACATTCAAGGGGAAAAGTTGGGGTCAAAAGGCAGCCAATCTTTGCTATACAGATCCACTACGTGGGTCCCTTTGAGCTATGGGTATTAGATTTTTTTTTTTTCCGAGACAGGGTTTCTCTGTGGCTTTGGAGCCTGTCCTGGAATTAGCTCTGTAGACCAGGCTGGTCTCGAACTCAGAGATCCACCTGCCTCTGCCTCCCGAGTGCTGGGATTAAAGGCGTGCGCCACCATCGCCCAGCTGGGTATTAGATTTTAAATGACTCTTTCACAAAGCTATTTCCCCCTTAATGTCTGCACTCTCTACTCTTAATATTTACTCTTAAAACAGAGCCAAGATAGCTTTTTTTTTGACAAAGGACTTCATTTATATATAGCCCTGGCTGGCCTCGAACTCACTTTTCAGACAATGCTGGCCCTGAACTCACAGAGATCCGCCTGCCTTCACAGTACTGAGATTAAAGACAATGTTGAGTTTCTTTTTTGAGACGAAATTTTCAAGTAGTCTAGGCTGATTTCTAACTTATGTAGGTCAGGATGATCTTGAACTTCTGATCTTGCCTCTACCCCCAATTACTAGGATTACAGGTGTCCGTCACCAAGACACTTCTCTCCACACACTCCTCTCCCAAGGTATCACCATGTAGTGATTTGGCTTTCTTGGAACACATTACATAGAGGGCCTCAAACTCAGCGATCCTTAGTGCTGGGGTTAAAGACCTGTGCCATCACAGCCAGCCCGACACACACTAAAACGATGAGAACAGGAACCACTTTGAAATTGGACCAGACACTCCATTATTCAGACTTTTCAAAAAAAAAAAAAAAAATCATCACTGGTTCTGGAGGTGAGTCATCTAGACAGTTCAAGCAAAATCAGTCATTTTATCTGGTTTTTGCATGTGGTCAAAGGCACTCATAGCCAACCCTTTAAAAGTAGGGGGTCCCAGTAAAAAACACTGGACAGATACAAGGTTTCTAACACAAGCCTCTTTCAAATTTAAACTCTGCCTTAAATTCTCTATTATACTGCCTTTGACATCTTAGAAACTTGTGTAGCTCTTTAGGGAAGACTTCAAAAATATGTAATTTTACCGAGACTAGTTTGTGTACTGTTAATACCTTCACTTTCCCTGGCAGGAGTAAAGTCCTTTTTTTATGCTTCTGGATCAATTACATTTATTTTAATCTTGACAGCCAAGACCATGGAAAACAACTGTCATCCAAAACAATTCTTCAGGAAGCCGGAGACTGGTGTTTGATGGGATATTAAAAAAAAACTCAGCAGCACAGGACACTTTATAGAAAAGCAATTTATTCCATTATAAGCACTTACACAGTTAGTCATGGAGAGTAGTAACAGGCCTGATGGTGAGACAGGTCAACCAAAATGGAAATGGCTTCAAACTATAGTGGTCAAGGACTAACTCCTAAAAAAAGCAACTCTTATCAAGGATTAATTTAATTTTAAAAACAAATACAAACTAGCAATTCACTCTTTCTCAACTTGACAGTTCACCAGTGGTCTGTCAATTAAAAACATACATCTCACAACTTGGTGGTCCCAAGTTTAAAAAACAAAAACAAAAAACCGCACAACAAAAGCCAAGTGAAGTAGGTGTCTGAGCCAGGAGTATAAATATTGCAAGATGTCATTTTTATTCCTGAATAAAATTTATTCATTTCTATAAATTTATAAATTTTTCCTTAGGAATTTTCTAGCAACAAACCCAGGTCTAAAGTAGCTTCAGAAATGGGGCATATTATGTATGATTATTTTTCTTAAGCTATATCCCAAAATTTTCATATTCTCAAGAAAGTGACTAGAGTGGATAAGGAATAAGTGAAGTAGGTGTTCAAGTCAGGCGTATAAATATTGCAAGCTGTCATCTTACAATATTCATAGAAAATAATCACACACAATGCCCCATTTCTGAAGCCACCTCAGACCTGGGTTTGTTACTAGAAAATTCCTGAAGAAAAATTTAAATATAAGTCTGTGGCTTTGTTGAATTAAGCCCCCCCAGTTAAAGATTTAGAAAACACCCATGGTTTGGGCTAATAGTATTGTTGGTGGCACCTATTGTAGCCGGATAGCTGAACAAAGTCTGTGTCTTAAACCAGTGTTAAATCCATCTCAGGGTTCAGAAGAAAACAAGGGGAGTCTAAATCACAAGTGCAGACATGTCTAGGATCCTTGTCCTTCTGGATCCACACTTCCTTCAGGGTCTTCATCATTGTAAATGTTCTCTGCCTGCCAGAGAGAGAAGACAGTTATTTCTTTTCTTCCCTCCCCCACCCCCCTGGGTTTGGAGCCTATCCTGGAACTCCCATAGATCTGCTTGCTGGGATTAAAGGTGTATGCCATTACTGCCCAGCAACAGTTATTTCTTGAAGTCTATTTCCATAATATATTATGCCAAGGTGCCTGATTACAAGGTCCCTGATAACATTTCAAATAAGGCCATATAGTTCTAACTATTCAATGCTGTTGCTGAATAAAAACAGCAGACAATGCATAGACAACATGAATCATAAACACAACAGTACAAACTTGGAGCACGTCACAGCTTCTACTATAGGGCATTTTCACAAAGTGTGACGATCTTCATTCCTGAACTCTTAAACCAGATATATTATTGGTAATAGCTAAAATATAAACCAGAGGTTTCTATGAGACCCACAGAAGTTGATGCTTATAAGCAAAGAATTTCTTTTAAAGATGACAAAAATATTCTAGTATTTTTTTTTGTGATGTGCAACTCTGGAGTAGGAAAAAAACTAACTGAATAGTAAATTTAAATGAAACTACCCAAACTTTATATGCAAATTTCAATTAATAAATGTCTTGAAAAGCTACTTTACATAACAAATACCCACCCCCAGTAGTTGATGAAATGTCTAAGTCTAAAATCAAGTGCGTGGAACCAAGAACCCAGTCACATCAACAATCACCAATACCAGACCTAACAGGCATCACCTCAGGAGGGCTGTAACCCCAAATCTGCAGGATTACCCTGTGACTTCTATCCAACATTGCTATAAAATTTGAGGGTTTAGCAAAAACTCCTTTGACTGGTTTGAAAATTTGCTATGATTCTAAAGAATGAGATTTTGATGTTTATATATTATGCATGTGATCTCTTGCTTCAGCTTTCCCAAAATCTAGGATTATAGAGCTACCATGCACCCTGCTTATTCCTGGGGTATCTATTTTGTATGTCTGTATTTAGAAAACCCAGGGACCAAATGGAAGAGATAGATATAGGAGGGAGCAGAGCGTATTACACTCTTCTAGCAAGTCAATGTGACTCCCAGAATCTGGATGCTCAAACAACCTAGAGCAAGCTAAGAGCTTAATCTCCCTTCCCGACTGGGGAGGCAGAGTTCCAAGAGGTTAATTTTCAGCACTCCTGTTGACTGCCCAGCTGTGAGGACATCCAGGGGCCTCACCAAAACCTTAGGAACAGACTCAGGTGTGGTACAAAAGGCATCATCATCATGAGCAGAACTGAGCTAAAAATCCCAATGGTGGGCTGGAGAGATGGCTCAGTGGTTAAGAGCACTGTCTGCTCTTCCAGAGGTCCTGAGTTCAATTCCCAGCAACCACATGGTGGCTCCAAACCATCTGTAAAGAGATCTGGTGCCCTCCTCTGGGGTGTGGAGGAGGCAGAAAGTTGTATACATAATAAATAAATCTTTAAAAAAAAAAAATCCCAATGGTTTCTTAGCAGAACCATGCCAAAACACAGGTACTACTTATTATATGAACATAACAAACAGAGGCAGTGACCCTGGAGGGTCACTCTCTCTACCTTTTCTTTTGGTCATTTTTCTCCAAAGATAGGCTTTCTCTGCTACCCTGGAACTCACTCTATAGAGCAGGCTCGCATCGAACTCAAAGAGATCCACCTGTTTCTGCCTCCTGAGTGCTGGAATGAAAGGCGCACTTTCCTACCCTGCCTACTTCTTGGCTTTTTGGAGACAGGGTCTCTCTATGTAGCCCTGGTTTTCCTGGAACTCAGTGTGAATTTCAAAAAGCAGAGATAAGATAAACTGTCTCTTAGTTCCCAGCTCACAACTGCCTGTAATTCCAACTCCTCTTTCTGGCCTCTAAAACCAACACACACACACACACAATAAAATAAATCTTTACAGGTGATAGTGATGGCAGCAGTGGGTATGCTTTTAATCTCAGTACTTGCCTTTTATCCCAGAACTTGGGAGGCAGACGCAGGCAAATCTGTGAGTTCAAGGCCAGCCTGGTGTCTACAGAAGAGTTCCAGCGTGGCCAGGACTACAAAAAAAATCTGCCTAAAAAAACAAAACAAACCATTCCTTTCATAATTAAAATGACACAATCCTTACAGTGCCATTCATGATCTATGTCAACTTAAGTCTATATAATAAAAATGACTTATGAAATCTTTAAAGTACCAGCAATAAAAATTAATTTTACATTTTAAGGTAAATTTTAATATATAGTTATGACATTAATACACAAAAATCTACTACCTGTCTATCCTCCTCTTTCAAAAAAGACCAGGGCTTTCAGCAGGGTGTTGGTGGCATATGCCTTCAATCTTACCACTTGGGAGGCAGAGGCAGGCAAATCTTTTGAGTTTAGGGCAGCCAGGGTTGTTACATAGAAAAACCCTGTCTCAAAACCAACTAACCAACCCAATCATCATTTAAAAATCAAGCTGTTGACATCTCCTCAGTCTGCTTAGAGACTTAATGATGAGGTTTGGCTCTGTATTTTTAAGTTCTTGATTTAAATTTAAAATATCTTTATCTATATCAAGATTTAAAGCAGTTAAAGACTGCTTAATGCTATGAAAAAAAATAATCAGAATTTAAAACTGGTAAGTTTCAAAAATCTTAAAACAAAACAAAACAAAAAAAAACAAAACAAAACCCACGTATCTTACATTGCTCACACAGCAGTGACCTGGCTTATAATCCCAGCTCCCCGCCCCTCCTTTTTTTTTATTTTGGTTTTTATCGAGACAGGGTTTCTCTGTAGCTTTGGAGCCTGTCCTGGAACTAGCTCTTGTAGATCAGGCTGGTCTCGAACTCACAGAGATCCGCCTGCCTCTGCCTCCCGAGTGCTGGGATTAAAGGCGTGCGCCACCATCGCCTGGCTCCCAGCTCCCTTTGAGTTCATAGTGTAACAGTTCACAACTCAAAAGCCCCAGCTTCAATTACCAACAAGCTAAACCTGGCCACATAGTAATGACAAAAAAAACAAAATTTAATCTGTGTCATCTTGGGGACTACCCAGGGAAAACTGTTCAAAAACCAAAAAGAAAAAAGTACAAACAAAAACCCAACAGGGAAAACTTCACCTAAACATCGAAGCCACACCTAAAGAAAACGGGGCTGAGATGACAGCTGCATCCAAAGCGTGTGTGTGTGATGATGGTCTCATGTATCTAATGTCCCCTAAATAAAGTGCTGAACACTTACCATCTGCCAAACTTGCATGATATTGTCTTCTGATACAGAACAAATCACCCAAGGTTCATTGGGATTCCAGGAGAAATCAGATATCTTGGCAGTGTGACCACCATGAATAAACTGGAAGAGGGACCAAAACCAAGACATTAAACACAGACATTAAATCATAGCCTACTGCTTAAAGCACAGAAGACTCCAAAGTGCCTGAAAGGTTATAACATACCAGCAACTCTGGTGGGCCATCTTCTGCATCTTCTGGGGACTGTTCTTCTCCAATTTTACTTAACAAAAAAGAATTTTAAGTCAGAAAACATCTCCCTGTGTGGTAGTTTGAATATAACTGGCCCCCATAAGCTCACAGGCACTATTAGGAGGTGTGGCTTGTTGGAAGTGTATCACTGTGGAGGTGTGCTTTGAGTCTCGTATATGCTCAAGCCACATCCAGTGTCTTAGCTCACTTTGTTGTCTGCACAAGATGTAGAACTCTCAGCCACTTCTCCAGACCATGTCTGCTGGCATACTGCCCTGTCACACCATGATAATGGACTAAACCTCTGAATTATAACCTACCCAATTAAACATTTTATAAGAGCTGCTGTGGTCATGGCTGCCTCTTTATAGAAAAAGAAAAACTAAGACAGCCTGAGCACCTATCTTTGAAAAATGTAAAGATGCTGGGTGGTGGTGGTGCACGCCTTTAATCCCAGCACCCATAGAGGCAAAAGCAGGCCGATCTCTGTGAGTTTGATCTACAGAGCAAGTTTCAGGACAGGCTCCAAAGCTATAGAGAAACCCTGACTCAAAAACAAAGAAAAATGTAAAGACAGTAACTTTGCCAGGCTCGGCACTCAGGAGGCAGAAAGAGGTGAAATTACTGAGTTTAAGGTCAGTCTGGTGCACAGTTCTAGGATAATCAGGACTACACAGGGAAACCCTGTCTCCCCAAAACAAACAACAAAAAACCAACCAAAACAAATCTGTAACTCCACGGATAGGGTAACTAACACAAAACTTACCTTAAATCCCACACATTCAACCTACGATCAGTACCGCTAGAAGCCAAAATAGTCTCATTGTGAGGTGACCACTGAACCTAAATCCAAGTGAAGAAAAATTCAACAAATTAGAAAACAGAATATGGGAGGGCTGGAGAGATGGCTCAGAGGTTAGAGCACTGGCTGCTCTTCCAGAGGTCCTGAGTTCAATTCCCAGCCACATGGTGGTTCACAACCATCTGTACTGAGATCTGGCGCCCTCCTCTGGCATGCAGGCATACATGGAGGCGGAGGCAGAATGTTGTATACATAATAAATATTAAAAAAAAAAAGAAAATAGAATGGGAAAATATCTCAAATTATACCTTACAAAACTGTAAATAAAAGGCAGTGAATACTGTTAAAACGGACAAATATTAGCTGGGTGGTGGTGGTGCACGCCTTGAATCCCAGTACTCAGGAGGCAGAGACAGGTAAGACCTCT